AAAAAAAAAAAAGGTGCTGCAATTTTGGGATTTGTGTTTGTTCGTTGTTGCAAATCCATCAATTACAAACAAGTGGACACTTAAAACATCTGTTGTAGGTGAAGTTCAGAAACCCTGAGTGGACTGTTGGAGCTGCATCTGAGTTCTTTGACCTGGTATTGCAAATGTGTGAATTTTTTTCACTTTCAAATTTTGTTTTAAAATACTTTGAATTAAATCGGAAAGATGTTGGTGGTTGGTCACATGATAGTAACTTGTATTAGTTGCATATTAGCTTTCTTGAGACCAACATGTCAATTATCCATCCCTAATGTGAAGATAAAGACAGCTTAAACTGTAGACTACTGCTGACAGACGGTGAAGTGAAACATAATGTGGCTTTTATGAAGTTTTGTCACTTATGAAACGGAAAACACTCAGCAGGCTGACTCATACATGCACATCGTGCTTTTTCTTGACGTTGTGGCCAGATTTCTGGTTTACATTTAAAAATAGAAGATTTCTTCTTGCTCTGTAAAAATGCTTCCTCGTTTGTAGACCTCTGCTGACTGCTGAAGCTTAATAATTTCTAACATTAATAATAATAATACGTTTTATTTGAGGGCACCTTTCTAAAACCCAAGGTCACACACAAAGAGGAAAAGACATCACTAAAACATCCGATTAAAATAGATTGTAATAAATGAAAATATAAAAAACAGCAAAATACAACCACAAACGACGAATAATTAAAAAAAAAAGAAAAAAGATTTGACAGCAAGTAAAATCTGTATTAAACCAAGTTTGCAATTTCTGAAACCTGTAGATGTAAGTCTGTAGATGTAAGAGTATTTTTTATTCTGGGGAAACCTGGATGAGTACACTTCATCTGAGGTCTCCTACATCAAGCACTCCATGAACACCGTCGCCACCAACAAATGCATCTGGGGATCTGCCAAACTAAAAACCCGGGTTGACGAGGAGATTTGCCTGCACAGGATGACCCCAGAAAGTCATCAGCACAGTGCTCTCCTCTTCTTAGAGGAGCTCTACAGGTCTCACTGCCACAGTAAAGCCCTGTAGAGCTCCTGGAGGACGCATTTCACCCAGCACCTCACCTGTTTCAAGTGTTACCTCAGCAAGGTGGCACATGAGACAAAGGCCTGTTTATTTCACCTTCGGTGATGTCGCATTTCTAAGGAAAGTGCCAGTGCCAAAACAGCTATTTCTGCTATTGAGCCTTGTTTGGTGTCTCTTTTGTTGTGGAAAAATGTGGAAGAACCACACACAGCCACAACAGCCTGGCTGCTCCTCCTCATGCTGGTCTGGATGCCAGGTGTGGTCACACACTGACCAAGCTTGGCTTCCTGTTCTTCAGCCAGGATTTGTTGCAAGTCAGCCAGTGTGGCTTTCACCTGACTGTCCATGATTAAAACATTGAACAGTGTCATTGTCA